AATGTTCAATTTTAGAGTTATAACTCCAGATTTTTCTTCAAGAATCGATTAATCGGTTGATTTTTATTTCATTTGATTTATCAGATTTTTTAAAAAATGTTACATTTCTCTCTCTTTCTTCTTAAAAAAAAGGGTATTGTTTCAAATAGACATTGCAAAAAATGTCCAAACAAATTATGATTCGGTTACTATGTTGGTCTGTAAGATGTTCGGAAATGGGGGAAATGTTATTTGCCCCAAGTAAAAGCAGCTGTTTGCAAATGTCCTACTCGTGTTTACATGGAAACATGTATTCCAATTAGAATGAAAGCAAATCACCGATCATGCACATTTTTTCCTAAAAATATTGATCGATAATTATCGGCCACCGATCAATCAGAGCATCACTACCGGTACTTACTAAGCATTCATGAACTTTCAATTTACTTTAGGTATTATGTTATCTTGTAATAAAGGATATAAGGAAAATAACATTTGAAATAAACAGGCATCAAACAAGGTGACTTAATCTTTTTGCTAACCATGTACAGGTAGGTCTCATTGCATAATGGGAGTGTAATTCAGTGCTTCTCATCCACATTAGTTTTGTGAAAGATTTTCAGGCTTTCTGTGGGAAATCACCCAATTTCATTTGATTAGAAAATTAAAGCATGGCCGCCATAAAAACAGTGTATTTTCAATTCCTGCTACTGTCACTGTTTTGGGTTCACCTAAACAGACCCCAGGGGGTGGCAGTTGCATGGTTACACCATCCGCTTAACAGTCCTGAGATTGGGAGTTCAAATCTGGGTTTCAACCTTCCTGTTTGGAGCTTGTATGTTCTTCCTACACTTGTGTTGGTTTTCTCCGACTTACACCCTTTTTTCTTTTTGTTTTTTTGCCTTTTCTGAACATAGAAACAATGCATATGCACATAATGCCTCTGTGGACATGATTGACAGGTGCTTGTTCCGCCTACTTGACGAACTTGTACTGATAGACTGAATCTTGACAGAAACACACAACGACTGGGCAGGGTCTGGTCAGTGATGGACTTGGAGTATGATATCTCGCCTGGTCCAAGATACTGAACAATATTTATCGAGTAGTCTGACAGCGCGACCGCCGTAAACGACAAAAAAGTCGTGTCGTTTGAGAGGGCCATTAGTCAGCCAGCACAGGCTCCATTTCACCCACAACTCAAATGAAAACAGGCAGTGCAGAAAATGGATGGATGCATAGATAAACATGCCCAGATTTCACATATACAGTATGTAAATTGAGGCAAGAACATTATTATTTCAGTACATCGATGGGTCATGTGGTCCAAGGCTGACCCCTAAGACAGTATGAGTAGAGCATGGGCCTTTCCTAAAACTGTACCTCCTTTATGTGAAGGGAACTACGATGTATTTAAAATGGAGGTGACTATGTTGTTTTGATATTTATCATTGTGCTATTGTTTTTATTTTATTTTCTATACAATGCTTGGTACAGCTGCAGTGGTTGTCAAAGCACTATATAAATAAAGCTGCGTTGAGTAAAAATAGCTCACTAGGGATCAGACATCTTGATGTCCTAATAAGGTTGTACAAGTCATCATTTGAAAACATTTGTAGAGATTTTCAGAAATACAAGGTTGCATATTCAAATGTGTGTTTCTTTCTTTTGTAAAACAGTAGAAATGGTATGTAACAAACTGGTTTCCATTAGCATTGCTCAGTACCCAAGAAGAGTAGTACAGTACTTCGTTTTGAAAAGGTTGGCGACCCCTGGCATAGTGTTCGTGACATTGTAAAGTGCAAATGGCAAATTCTGACTCAATTAAGGTTGGCAAACATGCAATTGAGCTACTGATTACATTTGTAGTCGCGAACACGCAAAATCTATGATTGCGGTAACAAAGTAGCTGTACATTACTCATTGAATGCACCGATGCACAAACAACGAAAAACATGATCATAAGTAGAAGAATTACGCACTATTTGTGTATTAGTGCAGCATAAACAGCCGACTGGACTATCTACTGACAGAACATGCCAATGCCCTGCCAAAAAACGATATTCACTTCTGGTCTGCACTGTAATGATAAGAGCAGTGCAGCATCAGCTAACAAAGCTGCTCATCGCACACATTACAGTACAGTACAGTAGGCGCTGTCACGCTGAAAAACGCCGAAACAGCATCTAACAATACGGGCGGTGTTAAGTGGACGATGCTTACCGCTTTCTTGTTCATTGCCTTTCTTGGCTGTAGCTGCGTTCCCCATCGCGGGCAGACCGGGCGATGCACAGCTGGCTACGAGCGACGATGGACGCGGTGACGGTGTGGCTAGCTAGAGAGCGAGCGAGCGGCTCCTCCTCCTCCGTTAGCTAGCTAACAGATTTCAACGAGCTCGGCGAGCCGCAACATCAATTTCTCCTCGTTGTCAACAGAGGAACGATATGCTCTGCAAACGGCAGTCGTCTTATTAGACAAAATTTCTGCTCGCATTCAAGTAGAACTACGCTGGAATAAAAACATGATCCTGGTTTTTACCCTGCCTGCTGTCTTGTATGCTGCGTTCAGGCTGTGTGGGAATAGCCTGTGATAACCAATAAGAGGGGTGAAAAGCTGCCATCATATTAGTCGAAAATCGCACTTACTTTTCAAATCTTTTCCTCTGTGCAGCCGTTCGTTTAACATGTGGCGACTTAGTTAAAGATATATTGACTAAATTAGCACCATTGCCATGTATTAATTTTTGTAGCTCAGTCACTTCGCATCGTTTACACAATTCTGTCCTTTTTGTAGTACAGTATTAGTAGACTAATATGCACACTTTGTATGCTATTGTTTGAGGAGTCCCGACAGTTTGTACACTACCTAAATGCGCATTTTACCAGATATAAATTCCTTATGTGCTTTAACATCCTTGGCCAATAAATATGATTCCGACTGATAGTAAACAGAATTATGCACAGCAATGGCAAACCAGGCACTGTACTGTACTGTACTGTACTGTGAAACCCATCCATCCGTCCATCCATCCATCCATCATCCATCCATCCCTTTTCTCTCACCCTTATCCTCACTAGGGAGTCCAGCGCAAAAAGTGGTGGTGCAGGCACTGTGGACTCCAGTTTAGCAAAGTCTCTCTCCTGCTCAGATGACTGAGTCACACCAACAGGGCACAGTTGATTTCCACAGCCCCTGTATACCTGGTCAGTCGTCTCACCCGCACACTGTATGACATCGGTCCAGTCTGTTGTGTTACTTACTACCCTGGGGATCCATTTGTATAATTGTATTGTGATACGGTATTGCAGACAATACTGTAAGTGCTAAAAAGTACCCACTGTGCCAAATTCTTGTTAATAATCTGTTATAAAAGTTATTCTTTGTTGTTTTGAGAAATTGTGTGTAATGTTTATTATTCTTATTTTAATCAGAAAACTGACAAACATTCCTTTGTGCAAAGTGAATATAGCATGGGATTATAGCTGCCTGTTACATCATCTTTCTGGTAATATATAGAGAAGAGGGGAGCAAACATTTGAGCTCAAGGGCCACCTTTAATTTGTAAACAGACACAATGGTCCAGCTGGCCATATGAGATGAAACATTTTGCAGGTAAAATGTGTATGTAAAACACCTTATTTTGTAAGAAAACAATTAATTGAATGCTTTAATTATACATCACTATTTAATAAAATAAATAAAAAGAACATTGAATGTATATATACTGTATGTATTTTATCACAAGTAAATTAAGCAATTTAATCAGATAATGAATTTTAAAAATACTTACAATTTTATAAAAGAAATAATAAACACATTTTGACTAACAATTTTGGGCAAGGGATGCTAAAATAAATTCATCAAGTATTTCACTACAGTTAATAATGCAAATGCTTAAACATTTCAAGTCAGTGTAACATTACGCACAGTTCGAACATTTAATTGAACGATTCTTTCACATCCTATTATAGCACGGGTGTCAAACTCATTTTTGTCGGGGGCCACTTTGGAGTTACATCTTCCCTCGGAGGTTACGACAGAAGAAATGTTTAATCGTCACATCGTATTATTACTTGTACACACAAACACACACACACACACACACACACACACACACACACACACACACACACACACACACACACACACAAAAGACAGATTACTAGTTTTGAAATCAGTCAACTATTTGTTTGTTGTTTCTTCAATTATTGTTCAAGTGAGTGTAAACCAGGTAACAAAATTATTTTGGTACAGATTCAAGCAAGTATCATGGAAGTTGACACATAATTTGCTTTCGCGGGCCACATAAAATGATGTCACGGGCTGGATCTGGCCCCCGGGCCTTGACCTTGACACCTGTTTATTATAGCGTTAACACTGTACACTGAAAAAAAATCCTTTGTAGATTACTTCATTTGAACAAATGCATCGGTTGAACATGATTAAACTGATGTAATTTTCCTGTGTTTTTTTTCTCACAAATAAACAAAGGATAAGTGTTATTTTAATACAATTTAATCACGTGCAACCAAAAATGTATTACTTTTTTTCCGGTGTACCTCTCGTGGTCCTCCTACTACATTTGGAGAATCACTACTCGATAGAATACAGTCATTCCACAATTTGTACGTAGTCGACTGAAAGGGCCCATCACCTTGACTTTAGAATTTCCTGTCGGGGACATTAAGTAAAGGTAGTTACTTCAGTAAACTAACAGCACACTAAAAGTACACCACCTCCACTGTAGCTTGCCCACTGAGGACCCCATCGGAGACTCTAAACAGCATTAATAATACAATTATTACTACTAATAATTGTAATTAATAACAAATACATATGCTTGGCGTGAGGGGTAGTATCACAACATCTATTTAAGTGGACCCAACGATAGCTGGAGATACACGATGTATTAAGATGTGAATGACAGGTCAATGACCTCTGAGTAGGACGCGCCCATGACAGCAGGGTTGATTTTAGCACCATGGTCAGCGACACTGTTGCTAGGTAGCTTCCAGTGTTTGCATTGAGCAAGAGCAATGAGGAAGAGCCACGATGACACTTCCCATATTCAAACAGATTCTTCGAGTAAATTGTAACTTTGAAAAGACTCTTGTGTTTTCTCCGAGTTATTGTTAAACTATTAGACACGTTTTGTGCTGACCGGGGAAATGTAATTTGTGATTTCCAAACTTCAGGTAGCTTCACCCCCTTTCGCACCGTAAATGGTTTTGCCCATGGATTCGCTCGAACGCTGATCGCACACCACCGGACTTCAAGACACAGATTTCCCCTCCCACCCCCGTGTGCATCTCAACTAGTTTTTGTGTTTTTCTGCACAACATATACATTGATGTGTTCTTGAAAATACGCTCTGTACTGGGCGGTTTGTCTGCGCCTGCGCTGGGACGCAACCAAGCTAGGAGCTGCGCTACCAGTGACTGGAATTAATAAGGTAACGAGCTACTTCGCCCCTCAATCCTTCCTTAAGAATATAATAAAATTCAGCGAATTGTTCACCCTCATTGTCTTTTCTGCATCATCAGATAGATGCGCAGCATTTATTCGCGAAATTTATTGTTGTGGCGTCGCAAAATGAAAACAGTGACGCTTCATTTTTAGCGTAAGAGCTATGCTGTTCGATAGCAGCACTGCCTGATTGTTTCTTACAACGAGAGCCCCCAACCGGACCTGCACCAGTCAAAGAGCTTGATGGCTATAAGAAAGCTAACGACTACAATAATCTATTCCTCAGTACACCTGCTTAATTTGTATGACATTGGCATTTGGACAGACACGGATTGCCCGTGGATAGGAGGCTATAGTGACACAACTCAAACAATAAAACCCATAATAAAAATTCTGAAAGACTTTAAAAGGGCTTGGCCCTCAGTAGTTGCTGTGCAAACACAATCCTCATCACTGTTTTCGTTAGCTTAGCCTCTGTCTTGCTTGGCGAGGACCCTTAAAGTGACCTGCAAGATTATCAGGGTGCTCAGTCCCTTATATTTTTATTCAAAATATTCTGGCACATTCTAAAGCAGGCGTAGTAGACGGTATAACACACAGGATAAAGTGTGCATAGGAAACATACAATGTGCATGTCCACAGAAACAGTCTGACATACGATTTCTGGATAGCATTATACATTTTTTCTCATGTAGCCTCGAGATGAGGGGTAGGGAACTCCGGTTCCTCGAGAGCCATATGCTACCTGTTTTAGATCTCTCTCTACTTCAACATACCTGATTCAAAAGATCAGCTCATCAGCAAGCTCTATAGAGGCCTGAAACGATCAATCAAGTGAGTTGGGAGTAGGGAGGAATCTAAAACAGGCACAATATGGCTCTTGAGGAACCGGAGTTCCCTACCCCGGCTCTAAATTATGTGTGCCGTATTGCTCACTCATGCTCCCAGGACCATTTATTTACTCAACTGGTAAAAGTGTCTATTGGGGGTAAGGCATTTCCACAGATAATTTTTTGATAATGTAAGTATGGAGACGAGAGTTTTACAATACTAGCCTGATAGTGCCATCCAGCTGTTGCAGTTGTGCATCCACTGTAATGTACGAAAGTCTTTGTAATATTGTGCTTACAGCATACATTCCGATGGAATTTGCAATTCCATCTGAATGTTGAAAACACCATCATTTAAGATGGGATTTGCCTATTTATGTCATGGTCTGGACTGCATTGTTCACCTCATTACATTTTTAGAATTATGTAATATGCTTTAAGGATTCAATAGTCTGTAGTGGGGTTAATCTTAGTGGCAGGCTTGTGTTTATTCATAATTCAGCTAACATTTTAATTGTTTTGTTTATTGTCTTTTCTGTACATATACGAAATGTTGGTGTGAAACTGTTTCACTATTTAAATTTACTGTACGATGAAAAGAATTTGAATCACGTCCATATTTCCAGTGGACGGTATTAGCTAAGCATTCAGGTGTCTGTTGGAGTATTTCGGTGTGGTGTGGGCTGGGATCTCCCACACTTGTTTCTCCTTGTTTGTGGAAGAAGGCACAAAGCAAGTACATTACATTGGTTTTCTCTTCTTACAAAATAACTCTCACCATATTGTTTGAGATGATCTGATTTGAGGTGGTCAAACACTTATTGTAACCATCTTAAGACAGTTTTTTTTCTTCCTGCATCTGCTGGAACTTTGTTTTTAGCATACATGGATTATTCATTGTGAAAGCAAAAAAAAAAAAAAAAAAAAAAGTTGAAAAATTTACATGCCTTTAAAAGAAAGAAAATGTCATGGCTGTTAACCTTTAACCGGATCTGTTCTGTACAATGTGTTTAGCCCATGTTGCCCCCCCAAAGGGAACTGGTTAAGTAGTTTAATGCTGTTTAATCCCACTTATTAACAAACAAGCAACAGCAGTTTCAACACATTTGCAATAGTAATAAACATACACTGTATTTATACAATTAATATTACTCATTTGTATTTGAGTGAAATTATTTTCTTTGCATTGCCTCAATCAAGCATGTGCAATAAAATTAAACGTTTTAATTAAGATGTTAAATCTGTTCCAAGCTGATGGTTGAACTCTGATTAGTTTGGATGAAAAAAAAAAAGAAAATAATGGAAATAAAATAATTTGCTCCACAATCAAACTGCGGCCAATGTAAAACCTTTACTTTAATAGAAAATAATGGAAATAAAACAATTTGCTCCACAATCAAACTGTGGCCAATGTAAAACCTTTACTTTCATTCGTAAAATCGGTAATGATACTATGTAAACCCTTTGTAACACCTTTTCTGGTGATGCTAGACAAAAGTATTGGAACAGTCTTAACATTCCTTGTTGATACTGGCTCTTCTTTTGGAATAAGTGCTGGAAAAAAGCCACAGAAAAATAATCAAAACATGCGCAGTTAATCCTTTAGTGAGGTTTATTATGTCTTTAGAGTCATGAAATATGTTGGCAAATTCCAAATTGCATGGCCTTTAGAGGTTTTAGTCAATTCTCTACCAGTACCTTTTGAATAGCTATTGGACCATGCACGCACACACACACACACACACACACACACACACACACACACACACACACACACGCGCGCGCGCGCACACGCGCACACACGCACACACACACACACACACACACACACACACACACGAATCCAGTGAAAGAGGGAATATCAGGGAATGTTATCAGAATAACACAAAGCTAAGTGTTTTTCCCCCCCGAGCTTCTTTTTTGTTTCTCTTGTTGGAAACTCACCGCTAAGATCTAATTTCATGTGAGTCGAGCAAAACATAAAACAAACCCCTCGGGGATGTCCTTCTCATTCTTGTAGACTATGACACTGCTGACAGAGGTGACTGCTTCAGTTCGACTTTTTCTTTGTAACACTTTCTGTCAAGCTTCTTGTGATGCGTTTATTATGAAGCTGCCTTTGATCGAAAGATTTGCCACAGCCACATGATGATGTCTTTGAACATATCTTAACAGGCTCCGATTAAGCCTCTGTTGTGCAGACACACGTATACGCATGCATTTTCCTAAAGAAGAAAGAAAAAAAAATGAAATGTATAGATTACGTGTGTGTATATAATAGATAGATCGATAGATGTGCAGCAATATACAATGGGATTGTGTTTACATCTCGTGCAAAGCAGACATCTCAGCATTACAACATCCTGTAAGACAAACATTTATTTGTAATGGATTTGTCATGGCCTGTGTGAGAGAGATGCTTATGGCAGCAGGGGGAGATAGCTCTCAACAATAAAGCATCTGTGTTGAGGCTGAGGATGTTCATGAGCTCAGGATCCATAAGGCCTCTGTCATTACACTATTTCTGTGACCCTTTATCGCCCTCTCTTGTTTAAATTGAGTTGCTGCATCATCTTCGGCTCTCGTAGGACAGCAGTAGTGGTTCAATTTTGATATTCTTACGACTGGACGTACTGTGTATTGCACGGCTCTCCTTTGCAGTACCACGTCAGAATATTAATCTTCCACCACTACATTATAACCCTTATCTGACTCTGAAGGAAAAAAACAACAAGATGACCATAACTGTGTCACTTCTTCAAGCAGATTGTGGGGGCTCCAAAATATTATACTGTAGCTAAAAGGAGGCAACGTTTTATTGAGATTCACCATTTCTTTTGCATCTAAATTAATATAATACACCATACTCCTACACAAGCACAACAAATCGCCTGATTATCATATTTTCCCATTTGATGTGCTCCATTTTAATAGTTCCCATGTGAATTACATCCGCAAATGAGACTTGGATTGATATTATAGATCGTGAGCCTGCATATCACTGAGTGAATTTTACAAATAATGCAAACTGATGGCAGATTTTAAAGCTTTATAAAGTTTTAAAGTTTTATAAACTGTTGATAATATGGATGTTTAGATTACAGTTTATGACATTGGTTGGTGATTTCTCAACCAAATGGACCTTGGTGGAGTGCTTATCAATATCATGTATAGTTAGGAAGTTACCCATAAATAACTCCTCCCCCAAAATAGATCCATGCGCATTCAATAAATCCATGCTGATCTAAACAGTCTCCGTACAGGAAGTTGAACACTGATTTTTGGTGTATAAAGACTCAGCCTGGGGGAAATTATAAATATGGAAGTATGGGCTGGTTGCTGGAATGTGGCCTGTGCTCTATCAGAGTGATATGTTGGTTCCGTGAGCGTGGCATCAAACCCGAACTTGCTTTGGGACACGACAGAGTACTAAGGCCTATCCACTGTGTTATCTCTCATCCATCCATCCATTTTCTGTAACACTGGCCCTCATAAGGTTCGTGAGTGAGCTGGAGGCTATCAAGCTGACTTTGGGTATGAGGTACTCTGGATTGGTCAACAGTCAATAGCAAGTGTAGATCAACAACCACTGACACATTCTGTGATGTGAGAAATTTAGAGACTTATTTAAACAAGCACGTCTGTTTATACGCTGCTTCTGAGTGGAACCTTACTCCCATCACCTTCAGAAATAGGCCTCACCTTCAGAAATAGGCCTATATTAGTTTTAAGATCCAACTAATGAAATAGTTACTTGATAATCAGAATCAACACTAATAACATGACTTGCTCGTGCTGTCCCTCGCTGGCATCTTACTTTGTGAATGTTTTTTTTGTTTGTTTGTCCAACTTTTTGTCTGTTGTGACTGTAGTACAGTACTTTTGATAAATGTATTGTTAATGTTATGTACTACAAATACAAAGTACCGTATGTAATCTGAGCTAAATAGTGCTTGAACTACAATACAATATGATATCTATTTTATTCTTATTCTTTCAGGGTGACAATTACCATCAGTCGAGAGACTGCAGAAAAATAGCCGTCTGGCTAACTTTGGCATATTTACTTATTTGTTTATTTATATGTACTGTTCCTGATTAAACAAACAAAAAATAGAATGAATGTGGGAGGGAGTCAGTGTACCCAGAAAAAAACCAATGAAGCACAGAGAGAACATGCGAACTCCACATGAGAAGGCCGTAGCTGAGAGTAACATTGCTCCACTACCCTGTTGGTGGCCATAATGTAATCCAAAGCAGGTGTGGTAACTGCCATACACAACAAACTTCCTTTCACTCCAGCACCATCTGCTGGATCTGGCGGGTTGACACCAACAGAAGAATAGGTGGAAGTCCTCGACCATGATCTCAATTGAATGTATTCTGTCCAGACTCCTGTGCGACCCCTCTACAAACTTTGGTGGACATTTTGTGTAACTGTGGCAACTAGCTAGCTAGCTAACTAACTCACAAACTAACAACAGTGATCAAGATATGAGTCCACATATCAGTACAATCGCTATAACCTAAACTGAGCATTCAGCCAGGGATGGTGCCACACTGGGGCTGGAGGGCTTCAACGCTATCAGAAATATGTGCAGCCCCAGTTAAGACCTTCCAGCATTGCATATAATATTCCAAAAAGAAAGAATCAATAATATGACGCCGTTGCCCTCCGAGTATGGCAATTTTGTGCTTTTTAACAGAAGGCCAAAAGAGAAGTGTGTGATTTATGTTTGATTCTTTAGGTCTTTGTTTTATCACGTGGCAGTCACATTAGGCCGGTTCCTAAGGGGGTTTATGTGGCACCAAGGTCCGGTTGTTCTCTTGAGTCAATGTTCCTCCCCTGCTGACAGTACAGGATAGTGCTGGGAGGTGGGCGGGTGTTCTTGTCAACAGCACAGCTTGCATCACTTCATCACTCGGACTGTTGTTGTTTCGCCCTCTGCTAAACTCATTTCAGCCTCTGTCTTCCTCGGAATCGATGCCCCACTCGGTCAAAAAGACCAAGAGAAAAACATAAAACTCAACTGAGTGATGGAATAATGCACTTTGATTGTTTCCCTATTTTAATTTGTTCCGTGAGTGCACGTTGAATCAATGGGGGCAGTGTGTTAGTAGGTGTGCGTATTCTTTAATGTGTGTAAATGGATTAGAATTGTTTGGATGTGGACAGGAAAACAGTTGCAAGAGGAACATTCTAACCGCTAGAGAGCACTGTTGGTCTCTGTATGAAACTCAGAACAAGGACAATATTTTTTTTTGTAAAAGGAGCTCATCTGTTCTGTGCTATGTAAAACCTATGAGCTCATTTGTTATAATTTGATGACAATGTTTTATATGTTCAAATTTGTTCAGAAAATTGATCGGGCTTGTGTATAATTCAGCCATTGCACAACAAACTTAGTGATTCACATTATCATACATGATTCGATTGATTTCGTGGTATAGTTCTCTAAACATAAAGATTATCAGGTCATGACATTTATTCATGTTGTAAGGCCTTTGCGAGCAGGATTGCGTTGCGTGTTTTCTTATTCTGTTTATCATTTCATTTGAATCATTAAGGAAGACAAGGGTTGTGCCATTTTTGCTTGAGAATCAATGTTATGAATAATCACAAACTTGAAATTCAACAGCCATTGGCAATTGTACTCTGACAAAAAACAAAACAATACATTAAAAGCATCATATTAAATTAAACCGCTTTCCTTAATTTTATAGTTTGTATGCATTTACCTTTTGACACAACCCATTTTACATATTATCAATAAACCACTGTGAAACACTACATAAAAATTAGTTACAAGTTTATTCCGGTTGGCACCTACGGACAGTTTGGGAACCCGTGTGTGCTTGTCTTTGGAAATGGGATCATTCGGACAGAGAGGATGAGCACAAGTCACAATGTTTTCTGAGCCAGCGGAATAATTAAGTGAGAGAACATCTCAACAATGGTTGATCACCGAGGGAAAAAAAGAATGGCTTGTCAGCCCACTCGTAGGCCACAGCCAAAGAATAACAGCATTTGGCATGCTGACTGGTGTTAATTCCTCACATTGTTCATTGCCTGAAGTGTCCATTTTACAAACTACTGTGAAAGTGCCATCTGCTTGAATGAGATGACCTCTCAGCCATACAGTGAAATCCAACTGGCACAAGCATGAAGACACAAATTTGCATGAGGGCTTTACGAAATACCATTTAGTCGAGTAGTCGTCACACAGCTTTAGATGGCTTTATTTCCGCAGTAATAGATTGAAGATTTGATCATAGTTTTCATGAAAACCAAATTAAATATATTAGAATTAAAGGCGCTATATGAACATATTCGAAAATATACTGGAATGAATTGCTAAACCTATATGGCAATAAAAGGGACTACTGTATATAAGAGTTTATGAAAATAAAATGGAAATTAATTAACAGACTTCTGAAAATGGAAATATACAGTCATCAGAAAAAGAAGGATGTGAACCCTTGGGGATTATCTAGATTTCTGCACATAGCGGTAATCAAATGTGATTACATTTTTCTTCAATATCACACAAAAACATGGTTTTTGTTTTGTTTTTCTTGTTCATTTTTCTGTCAATGACAGCAGTGCATCCAGGGCCTGAGGTAGAAAAGCAGTTCAAAACCACGATGGGGCCTCCACAATACTTCACAGGTGGGTTTTGATCGTGGTGTGCTGTCTTTTCCCGACACATATTTTCTGTTCCCTCCAGACAACTCAACTTAGGTTTTAACTGTCCAAACATTTCTTTGACAGTAGCGCCGTGGAACATCCACTCGCTTTATTGCAAACTTCAAATCTGTCGCAATATTTTTTGGACAGCAGTGGCTTTCTCGGTGGCGTCTTACGACATCCATTCTTATTTCACAGATTTATCAACATATTAACTGGAATGTGCATCCGACATGAGGATTTTTTTTTCACCTCTGTGAGGATTGCGCGCTATGCTTGAGCCACAAATAGGGAGAGTGGCTTCCGTGCTGAACTTTCTCCATTTATGGATAAACATTTTGATAGGCTGTGAAATGTTGCTGCTCGTTAACCTCAAATGATTATTCTGTGTACCGTGGCAATCCTTAACACTTCATCCACTTGTACCGCAGCTGTAAAATATACTTTTTCCCCCTTCTTTCCTACATGCATTCCTATCCATCTTTGTGTGCACCCCCGTTTTGTCTTTTCCACATAGGGCTGTAAATCAGCTGGCCTATGTGTAGATTTCCAAGTGCCCCCCCTATCCTTTCACCATTCCCACCACCCCCTCCATTAGTCTTCCCCATCATTTCTACCTTCCTACAACTCCCACTCAAACCGGTGCTGCTTTTCATCCTGCTGGAAGGCACCTCGAAGATGCTCAGATGATCCGCGGACTGGTTCTCAACCATACTTTCTACGCAGCCCAGGACCGTGACAACTATCTGGTGCGAGAGTCTCCTCGGAGGGTACAGTGAGTACCCTGAGGGGCCTGCCTGCCTTGTTTGGCAGAAAACTTGGTATCCCCCCTCACATCTCCAGCACCGGAGATGCCCTCGCCTCCCAATGATGGAGGTGAGTTGAATACTACAGACTGACAGATTTTTGCACCGAAACATGCACACATACAACTGCTGTTCTCTGATGCATTAAACCAAAGCCACATAAAAGATATGCATTTAATTTTGATTCAAAAGATTTCACACTCATCTAACCATTCCCAGTCCTACTGTTCTGTGAAAAAAATCTCTTGTTTTTATCTGACTTATTTAATTAATTCCTCCTCCCCATCGTGCAACACACATACTAGATGATAGACCACACTAGAATTCCCTGCAGAAATGAGGCACCCTTCCCACTTTTCTGTGCAAGCTGTGACAACATCAAGTCGGCTTGTTCTGATGTGTCCTGTCACTACCTCTAGAGGATCGAGGCGCATCCCCCGTGAACTTGCCATCTGTGGGCTCCTACCAGGGCCATGGCAAGAGGAAGGTGCACACCAAAAAGAAGAAGGGCATCATCAGTGCCAATGTTGCTGGCACCAAATACGAAATTGGTATGGAGTTACACTGATTTCTAACAGAATGAGCTTCGAAGTAGCAGAATTTGTGTTTGTTTTCAGGCACAACTGAAACAGCTCAACTTTATTTGTAGAGCACTTTAAAAACAACCTCAGGTATTGGTGGATGCTATACATAAACTGAAAATCAGACATATGTATATTAAAAAAAAAAAAAACAACAAAGATAGTTAAAATAATAAATAACATAAAAAGACTAAATACAATAAATAAAATGTTTAAACAACTTAGAGTCATTAAAACAGTAAATCAAAAAGCATCCCAGGATATTGGAAAGCGAGCGGGGGCCTATTTTGGTAGAAAGGCACCCATGTGCTCAACGTAAAAATGGGCGCAACTTCATTTCCATGCCATGCCAGACCAAGTCAAGTTTTGGTTTGGGGTTCGGATACACGGTCGTAGGTGCAAGGGGGTCTCCAATTGCCCATATATCATGCACGGCAAACTATATCATCCGCAAGGGGAGCTCTTGCAGTTCACCTGTTTAAGCGCATTTGTGTAGCCTAGGAAAATATAGAAACAAGAAAACTCAAGCCATGCGCAATGTGAGACTGCATTTTGCGCTCGATTGTGATCCGGCACAAATCTAAGGCTGAGCAGTCCATTTTTTCAGTCATATACTTAACGTAAATTCAGTAATGTTTCATAAGTTCATGAGAACAATTCTAATTTCCACAGATGAAAATATTTACCAAGGAAACCAAGGTAATAAAAAGTGTGAAAGCTTGAAAGCTGGACTCAAAATGGCCCATTGCGGTTTAGCCTGCCAAAATGGTGACATTCAACATCTTCATTTAAAGCTAGATGAGTTTCAGCATGGTGAAACTGCTTGTGTGGAGGCAATCCCTGCAATTTTTTATTTATTTTTTTACTGAGGTAACCTAACTTGGCAGTCAGTGTTTTTGAGACAGGCTAAAACAGCGCAGTAAGCACTCCTACCATGCTGGCTATATTGTGTGGCGTCAAAGCTCTCAGGGGTGAACTACAACCTTTGAAACTAAGGAGTCAGCAGCAGTGTAACAGAAATCAGGGCCGGTCAGAATCCAGCATGTAGATGGGAATCAAGAAGCTGTGAATCATTTTGCTTGCTGTGATCAGATCCTCATTGGCCCTGTTAAGGAGACAGCTATGCACTATGTCCAGTGAAAAGTAACACTAAAATCTTAACAGATGAGCCATTTATGCTGTGTCCTTTTCTGACTATGTTTGGGAATGGAACAGGTGAAAGATCAAAGATAGTTGTATTTTTCCTTATACCTGCGAAGGGGTGCTTGTGTATACTGTGGGTCTCAGGGCTTGTGTTCAGTGAGGTGGCTAAGACAAAATTGATTAAGACTCGGGTCTCATGTAACTTAATGGTAACTGTCAGCACAGGCCTGCTGCGATGTAAATCCTCAAGTTATCAAAACACAGTTACCATCCACCAGCGTGAACAGATTGATGAAGTTACAACGCAACCGTTTTTTCTCCCATTCAAGTGATACCATGCAACATTAGGCAAGCTGGCATCAGGTTTGTGTTGGGTTTCGAGAAATGAATTAAGATGCTATTTTGTTTGGGCATCTGAAGCTTTCATTACTCACTGAATAATGAATAGTTGCTGGATTAATGTCCAAATGGGCTCGACACCAATCTCTCATACTGTAGGTGTTCTCGTGGGATTTGAATGCATTAAGTAAAATTAATATATACATTTGTTGGGAGCCATGGCTGACATTTGATCTGCAACCATTTCATGACTAGTTAATATTGCTGAAAGGTTTTGATCTTTTGAATCAGCATGCGGGAGATCGTTTTAGTGAAATGATTTTGTGATGTGTATCTTATTTACACTGTGCGCATTTTTCATGAGGTATTCATGTCATTATTAAATAAACCCTAAAGTATTCTTATCATGGAAATCTACTGAAATACTTTTTTCTGTTTTGCCCGCGACTCTGTTCAGGACAAGTGGTGTTGAAAATGAATAAATGAATGAATGAATACCTTCTTTGCCTGCTCTACTCCATTTTAATGTCAGTCTCTTCCCACCAGTTCGCATAGTCATCAATGAGATGGATTTTTTGAAAACACGAGATGAGGACGAGACTGCCAATCTCATCTGGAACGACTCGGCTGTACAGCATGAGAAAATTGCAGAGCTCAGGAATTATCAGGTACTCCGCATGGCTATCTTGTCAAGTCAGCACACCTTGGGGGCCGCATCGGCAGTGGGCTGAAGGTGTTAGAAGAAAAAAATATTTTTGGTTTTATTGTTCGAGAAAGTTGTAGCGCAAACAGAATAATATAAGACCCATCATACAATTTTATGCAGAACAACCAACATACACATCATGAAGTGTTGTTAGAATTACTTGCAGCATTGAGGGAGGATTTTCCACCAATATTCTTTTGAGGAAAAGGTGGTAGAGATTCCTTTAAAACAAAAACCTAGAAGTAAATCATTTATAAAAAGCAAAGGTGTGGTCTTAAAATTTCCAATCTACGAGAATTAAGAACCGAAATGATTTTTCCGCCTTATTCCTTATATTGTAATTCTTCTTGGTTGACACAAAACCGTTTTAATTCATTCTTGGAGGTCCTGGAGCGGCTGACAAATTCCCAACAGAATATTATATTTCATTTTGAATTGTACAGAAAGTCATTGCAGATTAGCAATGAGGATTATATATGAACATAAAAGACATAAATAAATGAGCACACTATATACGGAGATGACGGAATGGGAAACTTTAGGACAAATAGACTGGATGAGACAGGAAAGAAGCGCAACAGGAAGACTCACAGATTCTGAGCAACGTGACTTGTCTTAGTTCTCGGCAGCTAGAATAACGAGGGGTAAACATGTCTCCAGTTTCAGTCAAGCCAGTTTCTTAATACCATCAGCAGCAACGTTTCTTTTGGGTAGAATACTGAATATTGCTTAATATAGACACTGAAAAAAATGGTGCGTTGACTAATTCTTATTTTGGCAAGCGGCTGCATAAAATGAAATCATCTGGATCCAGATACATTTTTTAAGTAGATGTATAATCTACTTCAAAAAATGCATCTGGATCCAGATGATTTTATGTCGTGCAACCACGACGAAATAAAATTGAGTAAATTTAACAAAAACTTTTTTCCGTGAATGTAGATGATGCATCCCATAGAATATATTGTACATTGTAAACAGTTATGCCGTTTATTGCTGTGGTGTGTCATATGATTATTTCTCAGTTGAAAAAAAAAAATCCCTCTATAATTGGATTTGATTTCCTCTCACAAACTGCGGTGTCCTGCAGAATTGGCGTAATTGCGCAATTTCTTCCCAATGCCTAATTACATCTGTCTCATTGGGATAATAATCACATATCCTTTTTAGACTCTGCATTTTTTTTCTTTCACTTTTTCCCCCCTTCCAGCAATGTACTATGGGAGTTTGCTGTCAAGTTTAAGTTCATACAAGCCTAATTAACACCCCTGTTCAGGCTCATTTGGTCAAAGAATACAAAAAACCCCAAAGATTTTCTTTTACCCACCACCCCCACTTTTGGCACATTTAAAGCAATACATTCAGCTGTCACTGCAGGAGCTTACGATGCAGAACCAATTACCTCGGCCCCTCAGAGCCGAGATTGATCTTTTTTTTTTTCTTGCCTCTTCCCTCCCCAACCTTTAAAGTTGGAAAAAACATTGTAAACTAAATAAGGGTTGCGAAAGGTCTCGGCGTCACCTTTTTGTTTTAAGTTCGTAATTGGGCATAAATGTCAGAACATTGTAAGCTCACTTCGGGTTGCTGCCTCTAATGTGCTCGTTTTCCGAAAGGGGCGGGGTGGAATTGAGTAGTGTAATGGCCTTAACAATGTAATTATGTCTGTCTGTTCCTCTGCAGAGAATTAATCATTTTCCAGGTATGGGTGAAATTTGCCGCAAAGACTGCTTAGCAAGAAACATGTCAAAGTAAGTTTCTCTCAAGTGCGTGTTATACATCGAAATCAAGATCCTAAAAAAATAAAAATGCAAATAAAAAAAAAATGCAGTACAGTGGAACTAAGAGCGAACACAACAGGTTCAGAGAAGCTGGTTGACCTCTGAATTCGTTCACTTTGTGCGATTAGGAAGTAATGCAAGGAAAAAAGTTGATCTTTTTCAGGTTTAAATTATGGTCATCCCGAAATGTTTCTGGGCAATCTTTTAATAACATCTGAACATTATATACAAACAAGACTAAAGGGTATTTAGCCACTAAAACAGCCAAAAGAAGTTGTCATTTTTTATTTGAAGTCCTGAATTTATGGTTGCTACTTTTTTAAAGCACGTCACCGGTTTTGAATATTCTGTCATACATGTAAAAAAAAAAAAAGTTACATTTAATTCAAATTCAAATTTAATTTTAAGATTTAGAAACAAAATGTGTACTCACTCAATTAACTTTGATGACTTTGACTCTGAGTGAGTTTTTGTATAAATTACGTGCGATATAGCTGTATCGTGCCTGTCGCGATGAGTGATGTATAGTTTACCGCGTTACGGTTTATGTCGCACCAGGTTTTATTTACAGTTTTATGAAGTGTCACAAGATGCTTAATCTTGCGATTTTCTTCATTAGAGGCATTCCACTTTCAAGCTTCAGCTGTAATATGGCACCCCTAATTTTTGTCTCTCTAGAATGATCAAGTGCCAATCCCAAGAATACAGCTTTGTACCCAAAACGTGGATCTTCCCTGCTGAGTATACGCAGTTCCAAAATTACGTCAAGGAGCTGCGACGGAAACGCAAGCAGAAGACATTTATTGTCAAACCAGCCAATGGAGCCATGGGTCACGGGTAGGTTAGAGGCAAAAACAAGTGTTCCAGAACAATCGAAAAACAACACCGATTGGGATACTTTCAGGCAGCAAAAAGGATGATTTAATGACAAGAGAGACAGGAGCCGCATGACTGAGAGAGAAAGTTGAAAGGGGAACAAATAAAGCACAAGCACAAGAAAACAAGTCTCAGACGGGTGTTTGACCCTGGCATGGAAATAGCGTAATGGCGGAGCTCAGATTGATTGTGTGGGCTGAGCGGGTGTGCTAAATCTCTTTGTTGGCCTCTTTGTCCTCCATGGTCACAATCACCATAAATCAGAACTTATTGTGGCTAGATGACACACACACACACACACACACACGCACGCACGCACGCACGCACGCACGCACGCACGCACACACACACACACACACACACACACACACACCTTTAGACTAAGCACACACACTCGTCCCTGGCACCTACTGTACCTCCTCCCCTGAAGGCATGTGCATATGAATATTGGATTCCTTTATGAGGTACCATCAGCGCACACCAGGCAGACTGGAAAATGGACAAGGATATGGGGAAACATCTCTTATTATAAGATGGGCAGACTGAAGAAGTAAATGCATTTTTCATATGTGAAATCCCAGGGGTTAAAGGATAGAAAATGTCAAACTTCCATGGTAGTTTTTTTTTTTTTTTTTTTTTTTACTATTCTGAAAGTCTAAGTATTCAGAGAACCGAATCCAGATGTCTTGAAATGTGAGCACTGTATTATGGTCTGTCATTTCAAAATGCCATTTTATTTCTAGCCACCTATGTTTAAACGAAACAGCATTAGAAATGCCAGGAACTCTCTTGACATTGTCACTAGACTATGAACTTTCAAGAAACCTGATTTGGTTTAGTCATCAAAAAAGTTACAGGAAAGTTTTTTTTTAAACATGTTTTTCTTATTTCTGCCTTTTATAATTATTAGTCACGAAAGAGATTCTTAAAACTTTGGATTGACTAACCCCTTAGACGGGAGACATTTTTTCCAAGGGCGCCCTCAAAATCTTGATGCAAAATAAACACAATTACCATGTGTACCCCGAAATGCTTTAGGAATTATACATTTTTGGAACGTTTCAACCTTAATTTCACAAGCTGTATAATAGAAAGGACCTGACGTATAAAATTAAAGGCCCCTTTATGTAGGTATGCATATTTTCTTCAATAAATTATTATTGCAAATTATTTTGTGTACTCCCAAAATGTGGTTTGTCGACACGCAGGGGTTCAAGGACCCGAGATTAAAAACCACTGGCATACAGAGTAGTAACTTTGATTCAAGTGAACAATCCAGTTTATATTCAGAGTTGTTTCTTGGGATAAAAACTAAGATTTCCCTAAATATTTTTTGTTAGCAGTTGTGTGGGAGATGTATTTTATAGTACTTCAGTATTCAACATTAGGACCAATAAATGGGGATACTGAAGTCTGAATAGCACAGTGTGCTTAACCTCTCCCTCTAATTCTCTTTTAATTTGTCGTTTCTGGCATAACGTGAGCATTACTTATAGCTCCGTGTTGCACTAAGCTGTTATTTATTAAAGAATAAAATGCAGCTAAGACTGAATTACTGCAATAGATTTGGAATATGAAAGATGCTGAGCTGAGCTCAACATCTCAACAGCACAAGGCTGACAAGATTAGAGTTCCCTCTATTTTTTTGCATGTTATGCCGCAGCAGGAAATTAAGTTAGACCTACCCCCGTAATTTATTTTGCGGTCGGCCCACTAAATGAAGGTATTGTTTGTGTGTGTGAAGTTATAAAGGCAACAAAATCAAAGTCTGTGCGATGCTTAAAAAGGAGAGATCCCCTCTGGTGCCAAATTAAATAGGCAAGGGAGAGTGGGCTATGATTATGTGACACCCAGGCTCATCAATCATGTCGTCTTCTCCTCAGCTACTCCTCTTCGACTAACTAACACTGTTAACCCTCTCCTCATCAATCAGCTGCTGTCTGCCATTTAAGGCCACTCACATTATTGGTCAGGCTTCCATCAACTTGTCCCTGTTTGGGTCTGCTCAAGAGTGCCGATAAGTGGGCAGATGAGGCGCTGCTCTTTAACGCAGCAGCCTGAGTTGGAGCGAACACTAATGTGGTGTGATTGATAAGCGTACAGTAAAAACATCACTTTGCTGTCTAACCTGAAAGAGAAGACATGACTAGTTTAAAATGACTGGAAACCTGGACTCTCTCACTTCACTTGTTGATTTTCATTCAGTGAAGCAGCGAATCAATGTGACCAAAATAAAAACAAAACATGATGGAAGCTTCAAAGCTGTGCGTGCAACCAAGCTAATCTCAGTCGACTTCTATGAGTGATGGGGATGTAGGTCAGTGGCTCTGAGTCTACATATGGTGGTTGGAGGCTGTTTAACAGCGATCCCTCAAACCACCAGCTCACATACATGCACATGCACAGACACACACACACGGACACACACGCTGCCCCGCAGATTCCGTGCACACTCACCTGCATGAATGCATGCATACAAACGCAACTCGGTCCACGTCTGTGTACTAAGCCTGAGTGCCAGTGACATGAGACCAAAGGAAATTGAATTAGAAGGAATGTAATGTAGAAATGAAGCCCAATGCCTGCTCATATTGACCTCATCGACCAGCAATGTTCTTTGATGAGGCTTTCCTCAGACAATTACAATGTTCTCCAGATGCTCACACAAAACCAGTATTGATGTTATACCTGTGTGCTTTTTGAACGTTGACTTTTCTTTAAAGGGCCACGTAATCAACAGAGTAAAAGAGATTTTGGAAGGCTCAGTGAGCTGCTGTGCCAAATAAGTCATCACTCTTAAACTTGCCATAAATCATGCCAACGGCACTTATTTAAAACCTGTTTCTATGGCAGGTCCTGCAGCAGTAGAAGGTCATATGAATACCACCAGGGCACCACGTTTCCAATCTTTTTACACCTTGGCAACTTTAATGAAAATACACAAAATCAAGCACACTAAGAAAATAAACCTTTACAGGCTTCCTTGTAACAGATTTTATTGAGTTGTTTAAATATCATGAGAAGGGTAATGTTAATCTAGGGGCTAAATTTAAAAATACTGACATAGCTAAATGTTGCATCCGAGATATATGCCTATAACCATTAGCAATTTTAAATGAATACTCTCCAAGAAAGCTGTAAAATGTGTATACAGTTTAGCTCCAGTTTTATCCATACAAGACACTGCCAATGTCATAAGTCAGTGTTCATGGTCGCTTCTATGCCATCATCTATCATTTTTCTAATTATCTTTTTGTCGTTACTATGCCATATTTTATTATTCTGCTGACGACACTCCAATTTCCCCCCCAGAGGATTAATAAAGGCTTCTGTCTATCCAGGATCTCACTTATCCGTAACTGTGAGAAGCTGCCTGCCCAGGAGCACTTTATTGTTCAGGAATACTTGGACAAACCTTTCCTAATGGAGGGCTACAAATTTGATCTGCGAATCTACATCCTTGTTACTTCCTGTGACCCACTTCGCATTTTCCTCTACAACGACGGCCTGGTCCGCATGGGCACAGAGAAGTACCATGCACCCAGTGAGGCCAACCTGGTGAGTCATTTGCCCACACACCAATACACGCATTGAGAGCACACACAAGAGAACCTCCAAAGTCAACTACTGTCCACTCTGCGACTCTGGTTGACTTCCATTTTAGTCTAATTACAAAACAAAACTCTGATAAATTTTGTTTAGTAACCATATTAACTGTAAACATCTTGACAGTTTCATGTTCTTAACTCGTTCAGTGACAGTCATTTAAAGAACTTTTTTACCCCAAATCTTGGAAAAAAAGATAAATATAAATAAGTACCTGGGACTGAATGTGTGGAGTCTGAAATGACATAAAAATACAGCTTTGGGAGTGAAATTAACGGTCAATCAAGGGTAAGAATAAGTTCACCACTGTGAACATTCTATTTTTTTTCTTTTAATTGCAATAGTTGCACTGACCATCAGGGATATTTAGACACACGTACCACTTTACTACTTACATTACTTGCCCATTTTCTTTCCCTTGGTCTTCATCATTTTCTCCTCACTGCCCTTCTATGGTGGCATAATAAAGCCAAATAAAATGCAAAAGAGACACTTGTGGACAATTCTGTGATCCATGTGATATTTTGTAATTTGAAAGTTCTGTTGTTGGTGTGGCTTTAATTCTCCTTTGTAACTTCTGATGTGGGCTGGTTTGAATTTTCTAGAATTGTAAATTTGTACAATATGCTGCGGGCCAACAAAAACAAGCTGCTGACCACAAATGGACTTCGACACCACTGGCTTGTGTGCTCACAGCGCAGAAATTTCATGTGGTGCTCTTATTTTTACAGATGCTTTTAGTTGAATGCAAATGTGTACAAACCTTGGTGCCTCGAGTGACTTTTGAAGAGGTTCCACCATAAATTTTTAAAGCTAGCTGGAAGATCAATAGTTATATATTGGATTTAAACTGACGGCACATGCGACGGACAAATATAATACAATGCAGAAGCACATACCTCCATCTAGATTTGTCACACACTCTTTACAGCTAAAGATATCTGTAACTCGCTGCAATCAAACCCAATCAAACAACATATTACTAGTATGGGGGCAAACGATACTTATGACACACTTTAGTGTAATTACAAAACAAAACTCTGATAAATTTGTTTCGTGACCGTATTAACTGTAAACATCTTGACAGTTTCATGTTCTTAACTCGTTCAATGGCAGTCATTTAAAGACCTTTTTTACCCCAAATCTTGGAAAAAAAAGATAAGTATAAATAAGTACCTGGGACTGAATGTGTGGAGTCTGAAATTACATAAAAATACAGCTTTGGGAGTGAAATTAATGGTCAATCAAGGGTAAGAATAAGTTCACCACTGTGAACATTCTATTTTTTTTTTTTTAATTGCAATAGTTGCACTGACCATCAGGGATATTTAGACACACGTACCACTTTACTACTTACATTACTTGCCCATTTTCTTTCCCTTGGTCTTCATCATTTTCTCCTCACTGCCCTTCTATGGTGGCATAATAAAGCCAAATAAAATGCAAAAGAGACACTTGTGGACAATTCTGTGATCCATGTGATATTTTGTAATTTGAAAGTTCTGTTGTTGGTGTGGCTTTAATTCTCCTTTGTAACTTCTGATGTGGGCTGGTTTGAATTTTCTAGAATTGTAAATTTGTACAATATGCTGCGGGCCAACAAAAACAAGCTGCTGACCACAAATGGACTTCGACACCACTGGCTTGTGTGCTCACAGCGCAGAAATTTCATGTGGTGCTCTTATTTTTACAGATGCTTTTAGTTGAATGCAAATGTGTACAAACCTTGGTGCCTCGAGTGACTTTTGAAGAGGTTCCACCATAAATTTTTAAGGCTAGCTAGAAGATCAATAGTTATATATTGGACTTAAACTGACGGCACATGTGACGGACAAATATAATACAATGCAGAATCACATACCTCCATCTAGATTTGCCACACACTCTTTAGAGCTAAACGTATGTGTAACTCGCTGCAATCAAACCCAATCAAGCAACACATTACTAGTATGGGGGCAAACGATACTTATGACACACACGCCTACACACTCTCGTAGGATGTGAAAGTCTATAATGTATGCACACAGCTGAGTATCGTGCATATTTCTTGTACTGTGGAGCTATCCGCCTTAATGTTCTGCATGCACCAGCTTCGTCTATTGTGTTGTGCACAGATACAAACACACCCACATACTTCTATCAAGCCCAATGTACATCAACACAAAGCGTATTGTCTTACCAAGTCCGTGACACATGATAGAATCAAGCGTGCCATGGAGATGGATGTTCAATTCCACAGAGAGTGGCTGCCAGACAGCCATCAGGAGGTAGAGTGGCCTGCGGTCACAGTGTTATTCCCTTGTAGTTAAGGACGCGGGGGCATTATAAAGAGAGGGGTGCAACAAGGCCACTAATAGGCAACCACTCAGGGATGCATCTATGGGAACTGCGGGGCACTGTAGCTCTTATCACTCTTATTTGATTCAGTTCTGTTTACACTGCATATGGCATTAACTCCCATCAGCAGTTCTCGCAGTGTACTTCTCATACACAACAGGTCTAGAGCCATACTATTTGTTTCTTTGCGGCAGCTCCGGCAGGCCAATGTCCCTACAGGAGAGAAGCTCGTTCGCAGGATGCTTTAACTGACTCACAGATGCCAATTTACTCTGCTGTTTTGTCAGCATCAATAAATGCGCTCAGAGTTAAATAAATATACAGCGGCACTGATCTTAATGCTGGGCTTTTTTTTTTTTTTTTGTCTGTATTATATGTCAGAATTATGAGGCATCAGTAAGTGTGGCGGTACACGATGCTGTCTTTCGTGCAGCCAGTAGGTGGGTTGGTTCCCAGACAGTCTCCCCACACCCAGCTACTGGATATCTCCAGTGCTGGATAATTGGGAGAGTTACGTCAGGAAAGGCAACTGAGCCAGAAATCAGGTTAGTCAATCAAGTTAGGAACATGATTCACTTTTGTGACCCCTGATGGGAGGATCCAAAAGAGAAAATTATATTAGACATTATTGTGTATAGGGGACGGGCTTTTGAACAATTTTCCTTGATCAATTCATAGGGTAAAGGGGTGGTTGACACGCTAACGTCGCCTGGTAGCCGGATCATCACTGTTTATATTATTAATATTCAATCAGTTGTTTTTCAAAATTGTGAAATGACAAACTTTGCACTTTATTTGGCATTATCTTATGGTTGGAACCAAGAACCAAACTTTAATGTTTTATTTTCTTCTGCATTTAGGCTGAAAAACGGTTTGGGCCTGAATTTGTTGGCCTTCTGCTTAGCAGTGAAGTGTGTTACGCCTTTGAAAGTAATGGCAGCGTTACATAAAGTTGCTGGACATCGGTTTCCACATCATCTTGATTCTTAATGCTAATCAAATTGGTAAATGGATCTCATATGCTCATCTCAGGTTTGTAATTTTGAGAGTATTCTGCCTCCTGGGATAATTCATCATCAATCACAAATGACTAATAATAGCAGAGTTCCCCCAATCACTAGAAATGTAGCATCCATACTATATTTAAGATTATGAGCTTTCCTTATGTATAAAGCATTAAACTGATTAAAAGGGGCATGATGGGTATCAAATACCATCTGCTGAGGGCTTCTCTGTTTTTTTCATTATTATTAATATGACTACATTCTTACTAAACAAAATATGTCATCCTTCTCACCCAACGACTGTACAGTCTTACTAAACAAAATATGTCATCCTTCTCACCCAACCTTGTCTCCTCAGAGTCAGCTCTACATGCATCTTACCAACTACTCAGTCAACAAACACAATGAGAATTTTGAACGGGATGAGACGGTGGACAAAGGCAGCAAAAGATCCATCAGCTGGTTCACAGAGTTCCTGCGCACCAATGATTACGACGTGGCCAAATTCTGGGGTGACGTCTCTGTACGTGGTTTACCGACTTACCCACTCCACATTCATATCAGACGTGCAGCAAATGCAAACAGCACATGCTCGCCGGCATCTGGAAGCACACATTCACGTATACAGTACCCATGCTGCCTGTAACACAGAAAGTGGACCAGCAAAGGTTTGACAAGATGTGTTTTGACAGATATTCGGTCAGCTTTAGAATTTTTTTTAACTGACTGGAAGGAGACGGTCAAAACATCATTCCTGCAGGGTGAGCTCGCCAGTCTGGCACTGCTCCCAGCTCATCTAAACACCTCTACTTTGCCCCCCCCCTTTTTTTCCCCCCACTTTTGGTTGTAACCCCCTCTCCCCCCTAGTCTCTGACTTCTATTGACCACGGTTGTAAAACTGTTACCTTGGTGGAAAGGATTTAGGCCCAAACAAGTTGTTATATTTTTTCTTGTGTAGAACTGTGGTAAGCAAAGAGAAAATATCATGTTTTTCTTTTTGTCTTCTGGACCTTTATGCTGTATCTTCCCATCCATTGGTGACACACCAAAGTGTCACCCACTGACTCAGCCAGATGCCCTCGACCTCTCTTGCCCTCTCATCCTTTTTTTCCCTGCTATTTTATCTGAAGTTGCACTTTGCTATTGCTCTCTGCCCACCATCCTTCGCTTTTCATCTTTGTGTTTACCACTTTGATGCATACAGACCAGGTGCCGGGCTGTTTGGACTCTTTTCCTGCAAGGAGCACAACAAGAAAGCCAGAGACCATTATAGTACCGCGACTATGTTTTTTTTAAAATGCGCCTTTCAACTCAATTGCAAGTCTTTGTACGATATATCAAGCAGTGTAATGATACTGTGAAAGTACGAGTGAATTTGACTCCGCTTAGACAAAGTATGCTAGTGAGAAACATATAAAACAACTCCACAAAACATGCGCTCTGAGTTATATTGTTCAGTGGCTGAGACAAAAACGCCCACACCCACACACTCTTCTGGCATCAAGGCTGGCATAGTGGGAGCAGGTGTCTGTACTGGGCAGCCTGTGGATTGGACAGTTGCACGGACCTACGTGAGGGACAGACGGTGGGGCTTTTGCCTTATCAGTCCAAGGCCAGAATATTGCATCCCCCTCTTGCACCCAACAGTTAGTGTTTTCTGAGCAGTGTATGGGCCAGCAACACTGCATGGGACTTGACTCGGGAGCGAAAGCTTTGTTGGAGGCAGGAGGGTGTTTGGGGGGGGGGGGGGGAAAAAACAAAAAAAAAAAGAAACGTACAGTACATGTCCAAACTCAAAAATTCTTGTAGATTATTCCCTGCTTTCTGTCTGTAGCTTTAAATATCAAAAAGTGCACTACTTGTGATGGTCGAACTGTTTGTTGTATCAGTGTTTGATGGGTCGAGAATTTTTTTCCTTTTTCAATTTGGAATTTTTTTTTTTGTTCTACCAACCTCATTTGTGACGGTGTCGTTTCTCTTTTTGTATCTCATGACAGGAACTGGTTGTAAAGACATTAATAGTGGCGGAGCCCCACGTGCTGCATGCGTACCGCATGTGCAGGCCTGGTCAGCCACCAGGGAGCGACAGTGTCTGCTTTGAGGTCCTGGGCTTTGACATAATCCTGGACCGTAAACTCAAACCTTGGCTCCTGGAGGTACAGTTTCATTGGCATCTAGAACAGTTTTGAAATAAGTATCTTTACATTGCTATTGAAATGAAAATCTGATTTTCCTCACGTTTAAATGATTTCCTCACATTTTAAATGATGAAGTGGTTTTAAACCCCATGACTGACTGGCTACCAATGTGTACCCACCCTCAAAGTTAAGAGAGCTTCTAGTTTACTCACAACCCAAATGAGGTTAAGCATTATAGTCAATGGATGGTCGGATAGCAAAATAGAGTTGCCACTCTTTGATTAAAAGTGGTATTTGATAGTATGTGTGGTTCAGAAAGAAGTGCTGCACTCTGCAGAGTCTCATCTGTCCAGTTGCTAACGGCGGCTACTGAAGTGAAGCACTGTTCCATCCAGCAGGAGAGAGGGCAATGGTGCCTCACTTTGACAGAACGCATAAACACACACTTATTTTCTTGTACACTCTTGTTCCTGGTGCACAGAAACGCTGAGACACACCCACATGGCCTCTAATGTATGTGTGTGTGTGTGTGTGTGTGTGTGTGTGTGTCTCTCTCTCTCTCTC